TTTTTTTTTTTTTGCCGGTATTTATTTATTTAATTAGTTTTATTTATTACAGTTTATTCACTTTGTATTCCCCCCTGTAGCTCCCTCCCTCCCTCTTCCTCACCTGTGTCTCTCCCCCAATCCACTGATAAGGGAGGTCCTCCTCCCCTTCCATCTGAACCTAGTCTATCAGGTCTCATCAGGAATGGCTGCATTGTCTTCCTCTGTGGCTTGGTAAGGCCGCTCCCCCCTTAGGGGGAGGTGATCAAAGAGCAAGCCAATCAGTTCCTGTCAGAGACAGTCCCATTACTATGGAACCCACCTGGATACTGAGCTGCCATGGGCTACCTCTGTGCAGGGGTTTCAGGCCATCTCCATGAGTGGCCCTTGGCTGGAGTATCAGTCTCAGAAAAGACCCCTGTGCCCATATTTTTTGGATCTGTTGCTCTTCCTGTGGAGCTCCTGTCCTCTCCAGGTCTTACTATCTCCCATTTCTTTCATAAGATTCCCTGCACTCTGCCCAAAGTTTGGCTATGAGTCTCAGCATCTGCCTCGATACCCTGCAAGTAGAGCTTTTCAGAAGCCCTCTGTTGTAGGCCTAGACAAAATAACTTAACACTTAAGGAGCTGATGTCACTCGGAATTTTTTTCGCTTTTAATAAGCATCTGAAACAGCTTCAGATTTCTGGTTACTAGACATTTACAATCTCAGAATTCACTGACTGAAAGAGCTCCCCATCAACCAGCCTCTTCCATGTCCTAGGTGCATCGCACCGAGTGATTCCTAGGAGTGCTTCTGAGGCTACTGGCAGGGAAAGGCTTCTTTGAAAAGATCAACAAAATATAGTGGAATCATCCTGAATTTCACTTGACTGAAACTCAAGTTTAAAATACTCTTAACATTATTATAAAATATTCTCATCTTACATTTAATAACAGAAAAATAACAACAACAAAAAAACTTTTTAAAAGGAATTACCCATATTTTCTGCAACTGATTTGTAATGTGACCAGTGGACAACCTGCCTGAGTGCATCCTCAGTAGAGACTGCTGTGCCGTCTGGGTTCGCGTAAAACAGCAAAAGCGGCTGTAGGTGGCAACGTATGCATTTGGAGACCACATCTTTCCACCTGGTTCCAACCTTTAAAAGAAAAAAAAAATCACAATAAATAAACACAAACCAATTCCTGACGTAAATAACATAAATGGGCAGAAACTGAATTGCTTCACATTTTAAAGTACTTGAAAGACTTTTGGCGGCTAGCAGTCCAATTATCAATGAATGATTTTAATAGCCAGCCCCCAAAATTTTACAGATTCCCATTTTTAAAATGTTGATAGGCAGGGGCCAAATAGATGGCCCAGTGTTGTTAAAGACGCTTGCTGCTACCAGAGGACCTGGGTTTGATTCCACCCACATGGTGGAAGGTGAGAACTGACTCCCACTGACTATCCTCTGATCTCACACATACGCTGTAGCATGCGTGTTTCCTCTCCCCCCCTACACAACAGACAAATGTAAAAAAAAAAAAAAAAAGGCAAAATTATACTTTTTGTACTTAGACTTAATTATTAGATTTTATTTGTGTACATCTCTCAACCTGTACCTACTTGAACTCACAGTAATCCTCCTATTTTAGCTTGTCAAATACTGAAATTACAGGTGTGAGCCACTATGCCTGAAATAATCACTAATTTTTAAGCAGCTTTTCATATACATGGTTGACTGACTTTTGACAAAGTATCCAGGGCAATTCAATAGAGAAATACAAAAGAGTTTGTTCAACGAATGGTGCTGGAAAGCTAGACAGCTCAAAGCAAAAATAATCCTTACCTATGGCCCATAAAATAAACGTCAGCTCAGGAAAACAAAGAAAAACTCTTCACCCAACAAGCTCAGAGAAGAAAACAAACTGTAAAACAGACTTCATCAAGTTAAGAAATGACAACTGCTCTTGGGAAGCTATGTCATTAAAAAAGTTAAAGTGGCCAGGTGTGGTGGCACACACCTTCACTCCCAGCCCTCAGCAGGCCAGGGCAGGGGATTCCCAGAGTTCACGGCCAGCATGGTGTACATTGTAAACTCCAGGCCAGTCAGTGCTGCGCAATGAAAGTAGACATGTGAATAATAAGGGATTTGCAAACAGAAGAAAAAATTCCTGAACTTAATAAGAAGATACTCCAATTTGAAAAACTGAAAGGATATTTGAATAGACACCACACACATACTGTATACAGCCAATAAGCACATGATAGGAATGCACAGACAACTATCAACCACAAGAAAAATCATTAAACATCACAGTGAGGTATTTTATACAGAATTACAACCACTAGAATTACTAACACTACCTACTGGGAATGCTGGAAAGGATGTGAAAGAGGGAGGGCTCTCACACAGTGCTCTTAGGAGCAAAATCAATACAGCCATGATAAACATCCATTGGTAATTCCCTGTTAAATTTAACGCACATTTATCATGTAACTAAAAATTTTCACTCTGGATATTATCTAAAAGCAGTGGAAATAAACCTACATAATGATTAAACCACCACAGATAAATGAAAAAAAAAATGTAGTACACTATTAAACCAATCACAGTTTAATACGACTGGTATGAATAGCCCAGATGCATTTTAATGACATTTTGCTGAAGGAAAGAAGTGAAACAGAACAGGCAATGCTGTAAGAACTATTTACATAAAGAAAGGCCTAACTAATCTAGAGGAAGGTCAGCGATGCCATGTCATGGGCCTAAACTGGGGTGGGAAGATTGATAGCAAGAGCCATGACAGGATTTTCTGGGGTGATAAAAATGTTCTCTATACAGAGAGAAGAGACAGCACAATGGCAGAGCACTTGCCTAACATGTAAGAGGCTCTTTGGTTCAAAGTCAACAATGCTAAAAACACAGATGTCTGATTATAGTTGATTTTAAGTGTGCATGCTTCTCAAAACTCAAAGGGCATAATACATTTTAATGTTCATAAATTGAACAAACAGACATCCCTTCCCCTTTCTTTCTTTTCTTTTCTTTCTTTCTTTTTTGAGAAAAGTTTCTCTGTGTAGCCTTGGCTATCTTAGACTTGCTTTGTAGGCCAAGCTGGCCTCGAACTCACAGAGATCCGCCTGCTTCCCTGAGTGCTGGGATTACAGGACACCACTATGTCCAGCTCCCCTCCCCTTTCTAGTAACCGGAACTCTGAGCTTTCCCTTGAATTCTGATAACCTCCTTTCTTGGCAATCTCCTAAGCATGAACCAATCTGAAAGGAAAACCTCAGACAATTAACACCTGATATGCCTCCAAATTTTGACAATCTGAGTTATACGCAGGGAGCCAGTATGAACTCCAAAATGTTCAAGTGGAATTTCTTCACAATTTTCTATAACAAAGCACTAGGTGTCCAAACAAAGTGATTTGTAAAAATAGCAAATGTTTTCCATCAATTTTACTAAAGTAGATTAACATGCAAAATGATCATCTGGTCTCATGTTAAGTCAGTGTCTTTGTTACATAAATACATGTCATCCTGGCTCTAAAACCTTCCCTCCTGTTCTTGGAAACCATGCATTTACTTCCTACAAGGCTGCTCTAGGTTTTCTCAATTTCATATAAACAGTTATACTACCTGGTCACTTTTGTACAGCTTCATCATCTTCGCATTATGCCCTCTGAGGTTCATCTGACTGAGTGCATGAAGATAGCTTGTTCCTTTTATTAATAAGCATTATACAGTCCACTGTATGGCTGTAATGTGCTTAGCCATTCACTTCTTACTGAATACTTCATTTTATTTTTAGTTTTGTGTCTAATAGGAAAAAAGCTATCGTGAACATTCAAGTCAAAGTCTCATGTGGACATGTTTTCACTGGAGCAGAAAAGTCCTGAGTTACAGAACGAACACACACACACACACACACACACACACACACACACACACACACACA